GGATTTCCTGCAGCACAGCCTGCGTGTTTCTCTAGCCAGCTTCTAGCTCCAAGAATTTCCCTAAAGCTTTCTCCATGAACTGCTCAATGTTGCTGAACTTATTTGCACTGGAGGTGGCCAGAGGACCCACCAGATTACACAAATCAGCCATTAGATCACTCTGTACTGGGGCAGCGGGGGCTGCACCTAACTGCTGAAATGGCCGCATCTGTGACTGAGGAGGAACTGGCCCCTGTCTGGGTGGGTAAAGTGGTTGTTGTTGCTGGAATTGCCCTTGTCTAGGCTGGTAAGGAGGCATCTGGAAGCCTGGCGGTCCCTTGGTGACTGGTGGTCAAGGGTTAGGTCCATTCCAGGAGAAGTTGGGATGATGGCGTCACCCCTCGTTATAAGTGTTGTTGTAGGGGTCGAAACGCCTGGCATTGCCGATGAAATTCCACAGTGTGATGGGAGTCGACTCAAACGACGTGGTGCCCACAACATGCACACCCCGACCTGGTGCTCGTCTCGATCTCCTAGAAGTTCCCCAATCATATCCCTGCTCCGCCATCTCTTTAAAGAGTCGATTCAGATGCGGCGGGGTCTTGACAAACACGTTTTTGACAAACGCAGTGAAGATTATCACCGCGTTTGACAAACACGGTGAATATTTCACCGTTTAAAAAAAACGGTGAATACCTTCACCGTTCTAGGTTAAAACGGTGAGTATTTCACACGTTTCCAACCCCTGTTAGGTGAAAATTAGGTAACAGCTACCTAATGTTCACCGTTTGAGACAAACGCGGTGATGGTGTTCACCGTGTTTGACAAAAACGGTGAATAGTAGGCAGATTTTCCTATAAATACCACGCCACCAGCAACTATAAAAACATAACCACTCCCCCCTCTTCAAATTTCAGCAACCAAAACTGAGCATAATACACAGAATATGAATTTTTGGTATGATTTAATTTTTGTATTATAGCTTAATGATGGGTTTTTAGTAGTTATAGTATGATTTAATTTTCGTATTATAGCCTAATGATGTTTTTAATAGTTATATTGTTATGTTATGAATTACTTATCGTAGCAATTGTAGTACTTAATTTTGAATTTATGCTGTTGTTAGTTAGTTGAATTTATGTTACGTTAGTTATGAGATTGAGTAATACTAGTCGTACAATATGGTTTTGGTTAATATTAGTTGAATTTATACAGGATGGGTGTCATCGGAAGAATACTCGCAACAGGATCAACCAGCCCCATTTGTTGAGGCCGATGGCGTTCAATGGCCTGCTTGGGGGCCAGAGTGGTCTGAAATCGAGAATACCATTCGATCAGGGCGTACTTCACATGAGCGAGAAGACGATGTTTGTGATGGTGGTCATATTGATCCTTCTGGCCCCAGCTATCCATTTGACTCAAGCGACGAGGATACTGAGGAAGATTTGAGATCAGTGAGTGAGGAGGAAGATACTGATGATAACGACGACGAGGCGACATTTCGTGAGGCACCCACGCCATACTACACACGCGTTCCAACTCAATTTCTACATAGTCAGAATGATGCCCCCGACTTTGTCCCTATGCCAGTGTATAATCCGACGGCCAATTTGGAGGTGGGTATGACGTTCTCATCGAAGGACGCTATGCAGGATGCCTTTACCGAAGAGGCCTTGAGGCACAATTTCGAGTGGAAGGTAAAATATTCTGACAGTAAACAATTACATGTCATATGCAAGAATGATGCAGAGGGTTGTACGTGGCAACTGCGGGCTGCAAATATGAAGAGAAAGGGTGCCTGGGTGATTCGAAAAGCCGAGACCAACCACACTTTCTCCTCGTCCATACGTTCCCAGGATCACAGGCAACTTAAAGCAAAGAAAATTGGGAGAACTATTAAACACCTTATCGAAGCACAACCAAATATCAAGGTCAAAGCTATCATGGCCGAGGTGAAGGATCGACATTCTTACACGATAAGGTACAAAAAAGCATGGCATGGAAAGCAGAAAGCCATGAATGAGGTGTATGGTGATTGGGAGGATTCGTATGCTTTACTCCCTAGACTTATGGCCACAATGGAGGAGTTAAACCCTGGTACTGTTTTCGTGCCAGTATACAACAATGTATACACTGAGGATCAAGTTCGAGTACAAGAGAAGTTGATGTTTCACCGTATTTTTTGGGCTTTCAAACCATGCATTGACGGGTTTGCGTTCTGCATACCGATTATTTAGGTATTTTAATACATGTTTACTATTTAAAATGTTTCTATTCTTGTAGACCAAGTAAATTTCATACTAATTACTTCCTAATATTTAATTAGGTTGATGGAACCTTCCTTACTGGGAATTACAGAGGAACTCTTCTCATTGCCACTGGCGTTGATGGAAACAGGCGGATTTTCCCACTTGCATTTGCAATAGTGGAAGGGGAGAACAACTTAAGTTGGGCATGGTTCTTTGACCAACTACACGAACACGTGACACAGCGGGAGGGTATTACGATTATACTCGATCGACACGCGGGGATTAGGAATGTCGTGGGTGGTTTTCCTGACGAGTGGGGATGGACATGGCGCTGGTGTATTCGACATTGGCTCGCCAATTTCCAACACAAATTTGGAAAGAAGAAAGACATCAAAAATCAATTCTGGCATGCAGGTACTAATGTCCTTTAATGCGAGTTATCTATGTGTTTAATAATTTGTTGTTTATCATGTATTGACCATTTCTATTCACCGTGTTTGTCTAACGCGGTGAATACACCGCGTTTGACCACGTCAGCGATCCGCGTCGCTTCATCGTGGCCCACGGCAGTGGTTTAAACTTCACCGCATTTGAATAAAACGGTGAATTATTCATCGTTTTACTCGCTATCGGTTCACCGTTTTTGTCAAACGCGGTGATAATCTTCACTGCGTTTGTCAAAAACGGTGAATGCCAAACATGTGTAGTTTTTGAAAAAAAAATTATAACTTATGTATTTTGGAAAAAAAAATGGGATTTTTTCCGTACAAGTACACCCTTTTCGATTAAAAAAACTGCAATTTATTCTTTGCACTTTCTTCTTCGATTTGGGGCATTAATTAGAAGAGGTAGATATAGAAATGCAACAAAAATAAATTAGAGAGAGAAAGATCACAACGTTATTGGTATCAAAGCTAGAGAAAGGCGTGAAGCTCCCTATTTGTGCAATTCCATATAATATGAAAATTCAATTAATATGATGTAGTTGCAACAAAAACATATTAGATGACTATGAGCCGTTCTTCTATGCTATAAAGTATTGGTGCTTTAATGTACAACTTAAAGTTGTACCATAACGTTCAATGTATAAATTCAGGTTGTACCATAAAGGAATTTGTACTCTTATGTTATGACACAACTTTACAACTTAAAGTTATACCGTAACATAAATGTACAAGTTCAAATTGTACCATAAAAGAATTTGTACAAAAAGTATAGGTACAATCTGAAGTTGTACCATAACATTAAAGATATAACTTCAAATTGTACCATAAAAATAAAAACCTATAACACTAATGCTATATAACATTGTAAAATTACTCGTCAATGAGACGGCGACCATAGTGCAACATACCCTAAACTTTTAGTTGCAATAAAACCTAGTTTGTTATTGTTAATCTGCAACATGGCATTTAACTCTGACAAACTCATCCCTTTTTATTTTTCAGTATTGTTCATTCCCAGTTTTAAGCATAATAAGTTAATAACCCGAAACTAAGGGGTCGTTTGCTTCAAGGATTGTAAAATGAGGGTTTTTACTTAAATGTGGGATTTAAAAACCTAAGGTTTTATTTGGGATTTGGGGCATTATGGATTTGAAAAACTCCTTTGTTTGTTTCCTCATTTTGATCATGGATTTAATGGTTTGGGATTTAGAAATAAAAATCTACATTTACCTTATTGCCCTTTTTCAACGAACCAATCCCTGCATTAACTACTAAAATCCAGGAACAAACAAATATAATGCCATAATCATGCATAAAGTATACTGATTCGATCATGATCATTGCTCTGTTATTAAAGTCCAAGAACAAAAGGCATATAGGCAAACCACACTCATGGCTGCAAATCGGACAATGGAGTACATACTGTTAATGACATGAACACATTTGTAGAAAGATCCATGATATAAGTAGCTTTCTTAACTTAAAGTGGCTTTCACAATTGTTTCCTACATGGATATCTACAACGAAGAAATCAATGATCATTTTGCTGTAGAGAACCAAAAATTGCCAATTGGTTTGGTTGCTTCTTCACAAAAGATTCTTGCATTTCAATTGCTCGCCCTTGGAAAAGTACTGCTCATAACAATCATTATTTGTAGAGAGAGGCATATTTGTTGTTTGTCGCAGAGAAGAAATTGTGAGCAGTTAATTGTATGTATATGATTCCTATGATTTGCAAAAGCTCATCAAAGAAAATGGACTCAACGCAAAGAAGGGAGTGTCCTGCTTACCTGGGTTTTGGGTTCAGCGTCGGAGATTGATGCCGGCTGCACGCGGACTCAACGTCGGCCGAAGAATTCCTTTGTTGGTGGGGGCTGCAATTTTCCAGGAAAGGAACCGAAGAACTCTTCGCAGCTTCCTTGGTTTGGTGTGTAAAGAATGAGAATGGGAAGTAGAAGCGACAGATATGGTGGGGATAAAGAGGGCAATTTTGGTTTAATGAAAAAGAATGAGGATAGGAGTGTCAGTTGGCCTCTCGGTTTTTCAGCACATCACCAATTCCCTAATAATCATGTGGGATTTGTAAAGCTGTGGGCCCCACGGATTTGGAGGAAAAAAAAAACCTAAATCTGTGGGGCCCACGGATTTGTTTCAACATTTTTTAACCAAGCAAACAAAGGATTGTATGTAAATCCTTGATAGATAGTTTTTTAGTACCAAATCCATGATGCAAATCCTTGAAGCAAACGACCCGTAAATCTCGAGGGATCTCTTTTTGGTTCCAAACCTTCTTGGGTTCCCTTCTAGCCCAACTCATGCATTAGGAATAACAACTATGCTACGAAGTTGTCATCCTGTACCCGATTTCCGCAGGGGCTCCTGCCTGTTATGAGCCTTGTCTCGAATCAAGAGAACAATCAAGCAAAAAATGTATAAAATTAAAATCTACCGACAGACCTCGAGCAAAGAATGTTAAGACTTAAGACTGCAACATACAGGATTGCAAAAATTGAAGGTTTCACCATACAATAACCAAAACTTGGCTTAGTAAGATTCACTCGGAGAAAAACCACACCATACATCTCTCCATTAATAATTTAAGACCTCGGTTTCTCCTTCTTCTCCTTGAAGAGAGCCAAAAGGGAAACACCAGAGACCTTCACAACCTTGAAACGGACTCCAGGAATATCTCCCACGGCATGACCCTTACGCCCGAATCCAGCTATGAGTACTTCATCCTGAACAGCCACACCATATCAAGCATTAGTAGTCTACCATCAATGTAGTAGGTGGAAATCGATAGGCAGTAGAAATACTGCACTTACATTCTCCTCAATGTAGTTCAAGCAACCATCATTAGGAACAAAGGCAGCAATCTTCTTTCCATTCTTAATGAGCTGCACTCTGGCACACTTACGGATAGCAGAATTTGGCTGTTTGGCTTCAATGCCACTGCATAAGTTGAGACAAACGGTCACATAAAGTGGGAACATGATAGCGCCACAAAAAAAATACGAATATAGCAACATCAAGGGTATCGTACATCTTTTCCAGGACAATGCCCTTGGCATGAGAAGAACCAGCGAAAGGCTTCTTCCACTCATTACCCAAGTTAGACTTCTTGTAAGCCTTGTCAGCCCACCTTTGCCTCCTGCGGTGGGTCTTCAACTTGCGAGCAGCTCCCATACCACGCGTCTTCCTGCACAAAATTGAATACACTGAATCTCAGATAGCAGTTCGAACCTCATTGAGAAGAAATAAGGGTTTCAAGCTCAATTTTCATTAGACATAGCATATACCAAGTTAAGCCCTATCTCTAATTATGGCCATAAACATAAATCAATTCACATCCTGTAAGATCACGTTCGTCGACTTTCTAAACCCCATTATCCTCGGATATACCGTAAACAACTCCAACCAAACGACAAAGATCTCAAACTAAACTTGAATTCAGGTGCGAACTATGAATGATATAGGAAACGGCGTTTGGCTCCCTGAGGATTTATAACTTAGCAAAATCTAAGTTGATCGAAATCAATCATGCCAAAACACCAATCAGAAAGATCCGCTTCTAGCAAAAAAAGATCTATCCAAAATATTTAAATTTTTTCGCTAGCTAGCTTCTCTCACAATCATCGTTCACAGGATCCAAACAGGAGGACAAAAAGAAGAATGAAGATGTCTTCTTTCTACGGAAGAACGATATCTGAAATGGTTTGGGAGTTGCAAAAGGAAATGGAGAAGCAGATAGGGATTTGCAGCATGAGAGAGAGGTACCCCATGGCTGCTGAACGGAGTTGTGCTGCGGCGCTAAGGGTCTTCTGAGCTTGGAGAAGGAGAGAGGCTTAGCAGCGAGCGGCTTCAAAAATATAAACCCTAGCCCTCGTCTCGTTTCGCGTTGCCGTTATGCATAAATAGATAGGCAGGAGTTTCCTGCCGGCAAAGCTCGGATTAGGGAACACAATTGGATTCGGGCCTAACGAATCCAGTTTAAGCTCTAGTTTAAGTGGGCTGAAGTTTCATATGGGCCATGATGGATCGAATCAAAGTTTTGCTCTCAGCAGTAGGTAGGGAATGGTGAGTCAATTAGAGCCTTCGAGGATACTTGGCTTCCTACTAATCCCCCTTCACGACCATCTCCAAAGCCAGGTGCGCTGTCAAGTCATCCTTTTGTCTCAGTTTTATTGATCCAGGGTCCAAGCAATGGAACTTGGCTGTTTTGAACTGTTTCTTTAATAATGCTTCAGTGGCTATAATCCGCCAGCTACCGCTTCCTCAACGACGTCTTGTGGATGATATTATTTGGCATTATGAGGCTAATGGTCTGTTTTCAGTGAAATCTGCTTATCATTTAGCTTTCTCTCATCTTCGACCTGTTCCACGGAAAGCTGGGGTATCAGTCATTGATTCGGCGTTATGGAAATGGGTTTGGACACGAAAACTTCCTCCAAAACTTCTTTTCTTCCTTTGGCAGTGCCTACAACGGGTTCTTCCTACTCGAGAAGCTTTGGCGACGCGTGGAATGGATCTTCTCCTCGTGTGTACAGCTTGTGGACGACGAGAAGGATCTTTAGAACATCTCTTTTTCTCTTGTCCTGTGGCTCGTAGGTTGTGGAGGATAATGGATTCCAATCTCAGTTACAGACTTGGAAGTTAGGATCATTTGCAGGCTTCATCCGTCACTCCCTCTACAATTACAATGAACCTGATGCTGATTACTTCTGCTTACAGGTAGTGTGTCTTTTTTGCTGTTTGTGGAAAAACCGGTGCTCTGTTTTCTTTGATCGTAAACAGGTATGAATTGAAACGTTAGCAGCGCAATGGAGACATCAAGTATCTGAAGCTGATTTAGCAATTCTTCAATCGAATCATTCTGCTAGCGCTACTCTAGGCTCTAGTCCGAATGGGGGGTTTGAGTGTGCATGTGGCAAATGGGTTCCAATATGTAGTTACCTTCGATGGGGCTACTCGTTTGGGTTTGCTGGGTACATCAGCTTTTGTGATCAAAGATAGCTCTGGTTGTCTGCTCTCAGCGCAAGCTCGGCAATGGGATGGTGTGAATGATGCGTTGGTGTTGGAGGCGCTTGCGTTGCGGGACGTTTTGCTTGAATGTCAGAGGAGGAATCTTCATTCAGTTAGTGTGGTTGGGGATGCGAAGATCATAATTGACAAGTGTTGTGCCAGAGATTTTCACCATTCCAAAGTCGGTATTCTTCTGAAGGAAATATGTTGCTTGCTGGATGATTTACCGGATTACTCGCTTAGGTTCATTGGTCGTTCTAACCACAGGGAAGCTCATTCTGTGACTCGTCATGCCCTGTTCATGTCGCCCCGTATGTTTAAGGGGTTCGACTTCGTCTCTTGGTTATGATGTATGTAAGGATCCTTTTGGATCTTTTTCAGATAATGTATCTTTTTCATTCCCCGCTTCTGGGGTTTTGAATGGCAAAAAAAAGCAGTAGGTTTTTCAGTCCAAGCAACGCAAGTTTGCTATGTAATGTCGGATTTTCTCCATAGGAGTACTGAGGGCTGGTAATCGGTCGGTGACTCACTTCTACTGTCACCCTAGGAATTGGCCAAGTGAAACCACTTCCTAAAGCGTAGTATAGCGGGTTTGGGTTTAATTATCAACCCGGGTCCTAGATTTGATGACTACTCAGTGAATTCTTGTTATCTAGCAATGAAACTGGAATGCAAGTCTAAACTACCAAACAAACAAAGCAAACAAACGGTTGTATTCAAGTTAAGAGAGGTCACCCAGATATGGTTCCCCCTAGACTGCAGTTAAGCCGGATTGTAATTACCAAGTTCAGTTTCTATGATAGTTATACTGCGGAAGGTTCTTAAACAGCCTGAAGTCTCGACTAAAGGTCTTCAGACCCTCTCAATCTGAGTCTCTAACCGGCGACTAACCTCCACCGGAGTAAACAGATTGAGGCCCTAAGAACAAAACCTCCACTACCGGAGTAAATCCGGTACAGAATAGTGAGTTGGATCCTCGACTAAAGTCACCAACTCCCTACCTTCAATCAAGGATGCTCTATCAACCTAGGAAGATATTCTCATTCTAGGTTAAAGCAGAAACAGCAGGAATTTGATCAGGATTCAAGTCATTCAATCATTCAAACCTCAATCGAATATAATCAAATCATAGAATCAGTACTTGGGTTCATACAATCAAAGCCTAACATAAAAATCTAGGGTTCTCCATACCCAGATGAATGGGAGAACTACTCCATGGAGAAAGAAGCAAAAGCAGAATCAGACGCGGAATTCATACTGTGAAGGATGGATTCCTGCTTCTGGACGTTGATCGGCACTTCTCCAAGCTCAAACTGGCCTCCAATGGTGTTGAAGATCAATCTAGGGCACTTGGAGACTCTTGTTCGTCGCTTTCTCTCTCTAGGAATCGCTTTGTCTCTCAAAAACTCGAATCCCCTCGACTTGTGGCTGAAAATCTACTTAAAAGCAGAAAATCCCGACTCACACGGCCAGGGTCGCACGGCCGTGTGAGATTTCCATCTGCCCGTGTTTGCTCTCGGCGAAACTCGCACGGCCAAACCACTCCTTCACACGGCCGTGTGAACATCAGGGCAAGCCGTGTTTGCTCTCGCACAATCTCACACGGCCAAAGTGGTCACTTGCACGGCCGTGTGAGTTGTGGGTGTGCCCGTGTGACCTCCTTTGTGACTTGTCTCGCGCCCGATCTTCGCCTAATCGGCCCCGAACTCGCTCCTAAACCTTCATTCACTTGCCAGGACCTGAAATATCACAAACAAGCACAACCTAGCGTGAAATCGGTCTAAAACACGAGAAACCACATCTCAAACGGTGTAAGAACAGGGGTGAAAACATGTGTAATTAACGGTCTATCAAACTCCCCCACACTTAACCATTTGCTTGTCCCCAAGCAAACCTAACTCAAACCAATGCAACTCTCCAGACCTCTATAGCAACAAACAACCCAGATCGTAGGTAGAGGACTTCCTAGATCATTTAGCAGCTTACGAGGTCAACCGACGCATAAGTCATCTCATAGCTTCTTCGGCGAGAGCACTAGTATCGAGTCGGCATCATGGCAAACAGTGAACAGAGGACAAATGAATTGTGGATGAAGAGATTCTCAAAAACAAAGGATCATGGACTCACATTTTTCAAGGTGCTCTATTTTCTTCTTGAAGATGGTTGGAACCCCTTTTCTTTCTGTTTTGCTTGTTTTCTGTTTTTTTTTTCTTTTTTTTTTCTTTCAAGGGTCCCAACCTGCTCTTACCGGCCATGCCAGGAGCGGATGTCTCGAGCCTCGTGCGGGGGAAAGACATGTAAGGGGGCTGGAGGTAGTAGGTGGAAATTGGGAACGGATTCCCGTCTCCCCTTACACACTTTTGCCCTATTCGCACGGGAGACGTTATTTTGAAGCACATTTTTGAGCACCTGTTAAACTTAAAACATGAAACAAGAGTCCATGACAGGTAGAGAATCCACAACACCACACAATTCAAGGGTCCTAAGATCACTAATTCACTCAATCAACCAACACAATATGAAGAAGAAATGAGACTTCTTAAATGCATCAACATCCTCCATAGTGCTACACTACCTCCCTAGGTTGCATATTACTATAAAGACTGTCAATTCAAAGCATACTGAGCAGGCAATTGCACGGAAACACGTACTTGGAGCCCTCAAATTTAAAAATTTGGACAGTGGACTAGGCTCGAAGCACACAAACAGATCTAATGCAGTCAAAAGATAAACATCCCCCCACACTTAAGATCGACATTATCCTCAATGGAGAAGAGGGAAGGGAAAGGGAAAGATGTTACCGGTATGCACGGACTGCAGGAGACTGGAAGCGGACTGGAGAGAGTACCAGTCAAGACAAGCACAGCCAAAGGAAACCAAAGAGCTCAAACACAATATGTTAGGTCCAATGGTCAGCCCAATAAAACATCATCCAAAACAAAAGAAAACAAACCAAAACCAAACTGGTTTACAATCCGACTCAAAACACAAGAAAGAAAATCAAACCGTGGTGGGGTTGCCTCCCCACAAGCGCTTCTTTACCGTCTTTTAGCTGGACGCCAATTGCGGATACTCAGGGAGGTGCAGGAACAGGTGCCTCCAAGAGCGGATCCATGTCGCTCTTGAGGTACAGCTTCAGGTTGTGGCCATGCACCCGACGGATGCGACCACCATCATCGGTCAGCTCGACCTGGCCATCCGGTAAGATGCAGGCGAGTGAGTACCCGGATGGCCAGGGTGGTCGTGGTGCAGGAGGTGGGACCAGCTCATAGTGGTCTCCACTCTTCTTCTATGCAGGCTTAGCAACCTGCTGCTTCGGCCGCCACTCCTCCTTGAGCTTTTGTTCGGAGGCGAGGCTGGATGGAGTGGCGGCGAAGGAATGATAGGAGGGTCCTGCAAAATAAGAGGTGCAGAAGGATACACGACAGGCTCGTGTACCTGATCAGAAATGGCATGTACAGGCGTGACAGCAATCATAGCACAGTGGTCAAATTCAGTCACAGAAAAAGTAGCATGTTCATTCCCAGCACGCAGGATCAGTTTACCATCATGCACATCAATAAGTGCCTTGGCGGTGGCAAGAAATGGTCTACCCAGAATCAATGGCACATCCACATCCTCATGTATATCAAGAATAACAAAATCAACAGGATATGTGAATGCACCAACACTGACAAGCAGATCCTCTATGATTCCCCTAGGATTCACAATGGAACGATCAGCTAGCTGAATGCTCATCCTAGTAGGGCTAAGTTCACCTAGGTCTAGCTTTTTATACAACTTATATGGCATGACATTTATGCTAGCGCCAAGGTCCGCCAAGGACTTGCCTACATGCATGCTGCCAATAGTAAGAGGGATAGTAAAACTCCCTGGATCCTTGCGCTTCTAGCGTAGCTTGTTCTGCAGGATAGCAGAACACTCCTCGCTCAGCATCACTGTCGAAAGATCCCCAAGTTTCTTCTTGTTGGTGAGGAGGTCCTTCATGAACTTGGCATACTTGGGCATCTTTGACAGTGCCTCCACGAACGGCATGCTGATGTTGAGCTGCTTCAACATTGCCATAAACTTGGCAAACTCAGTCTCCAGCTTGTCTTTGTGTAGGCGAGTGGGGAAGGGAAGCTGAGGTACATGCTCCTTAACCACTGGTTGTGGCTTGGGAGCAGGGGCTTCCTTCTCCACCCGCACTTATGCATCGTCGGCTGGAAGTGCTGAAGCAGGTAGTGGTTCCTCCTGTCTGGCCGAGACAGGATCAGCAGATATGGTCTTACCGCTCCTGGTAAAAATGGCATCCAGCCGCTGGAGCTGGTGAGAATCCCGAGGATTCGGGATAGTGGTGGCAAGCAGAGTCCCCGGTGCCCTGGTAGTGTTTTGGCGGGCCAAGATGCCCACCTGGGTCTACAGATCCTACAAAATGGCACCCTGGTTCCGCTGACCTGCCTCCTGTGACGTGATAGCAGCCTGAGTGCTAGTCATGAATGAAGCGAGAATATTTTCCAGCTTTGTCATCCGGTCATCTGGCACTGGAGCTGCTGCTGGCTCGGCAAACTGGCGCTGGGGCTGCTGGAATGGTTGCCCCTGCCTAGGCTGGTAGGGCTGCTGCTGTGGGGCTAGCCCCTGTCGAGCCTGGAAGGGCTGCCTCTGCTGAAAACCACCTGCTGGTGCTGGGGAACCAGGTGGTTTAGTGGTGTTGCTGCTCCAGGCGAAGTTGGGATGCTGGCACCACCCCTCATTATATGTGTTACTGTACGGGTCGAGGCGTCGAGCATTGGCGATGAATTCCAACTGTTATTGGGGAGTAGTAGACTCCCTCATAGCTTGTCAGTCTTCCACTAAGTGATTCGAGCTCTCACACCACTGACATTGAGCAACTGGAGGTGTAGCCAAACCTCTGCCCGGAATAAGACTGTTGGGCTGCTTCAATGTCTGCACTAGCTCAGCCACCTGCTGCTCGAGCCCGGATCTGGTCTCCATGGCGAGCACACCACGGTCCCGGGAATGTCTGCCTCTGCTGCTCTGTCCCCAAGAATGATCTCTGGCAGCCAAGGTATTAATCATCTGGTTCAGCTCGGGTGGAGTCTTAGTGAGAACATCCCCTCCTGGGCATAGAGACTCAATCACCCTCTGTCTGTCTGGAGAGAGAGCACTATAGAAGTTCCCCACTGTGAATGCATCACTAAAGCCATGATGGGGACACTGCCAGAAATAGCCCATGTACCGCTCCCAAGCATCACGAAGTGACTCATCTGGCTCTTGGCGGAAGTGAGTGATCTCCCGCTGGATCTCTGTAGTCTTCGATGCTGGATAGTACCTGTGCACGAACTTGTCAGCCAGATCGTCCCAAGAGGT